TGGTGATGGAACTAACTCCACCTGGTCTAGTCTCATGTTCGGAATTGGCCCAGTTACTGGTAAGCTGTAGAACTACTCCACCTGATGGTCTAGTCTTATGTTCAGAAGTTGGCCCAGTTCCTGGTAATGCTGTAGAACTAACTCCACCTGGTGGTATGGTCTCATGTTCGGAAGTTGGCCCAGTTCCTGGTAATGGTGTAGAACTAACTCCACCTGGTGGTCTAGTCTCATGTTCGGAAGTTGGCCCAGTTCCAGGTAATGGTGTAGAACTAACCCCACCTGGTGGTCTGGTCTCATGATCTGTAGTTGGCCCAGTTCCTGGTAATGATGTAGAACTAACTCCACCTGGTGGTCCAGTTTCATTTTCGGAAGTTGACGCAGTTCCTGGTAATGATGTAGAACTAACTCCACCTGGTGGTCTAGTCTCATGTTCGGAAGTTGGCCCAGTTCCTGGTAATGATGTAGAACTAACTCCACCTGGTGGGCCAGTTCCATTTTCGGAAGTTGGCGCAGTTCCTGGTAATAATGTAGAACTAACTCCACCTGGTGGTCTAGTCTCATGTTCGGAAGTTGGCCCAGTTCCTGGTAATAGTGTAGAACTAACTCCACCCGATGGTCTAGTCTTATGTTCAGAAGTTGGCCCAGTTCCTGGTAATGCTGTAGAACTAACTCCACCTGGTGGTCTGGTCTCATGTTCGGAAGTTGGCCCAGTTCCTGGTAATGGTGTAGAACTAACTCCACCTGGTGGTCTAGTTTTATGTTCAGTAGTTGGACCAGTTCCTGGTAATGATGTAGAACTAACTCCACCTGGTGGTCTAGTCTCATGTTCGGAAGTTGGCCCAGTTCCTGGTAATGATGTAGAACTAACTCCACCTGGTGGGCCAGTTCCATTTTCGGAAGTTGGCGCAGTTCCTGGTAATAATGTAGAACTAACTCCACCTGGTGGTCCAGTTCCATTTCCGGAAGTTGGCCCAGTTCCTGGTAATAGTGTAGAACCAACTCCACCCGATGGTCTAGTCTCATGTTCGGAAGTTGGACCAGTTTCTGATAATGGTGTAGAAGTAACTCCACCTGGTGGTCTAGTCTCATGTTCGGAAGTTGGCCCAGTTCTTGGTATTAGTGTGGAACTAACTCCACCTGATGGTCTAGTCTCATGTTCGAAGTTGGCCAGTTCCTGGTAATAGTGTAGAACTAACTCCACCTGATGGCCCAGTCTCATGTTCGGAAGTTGGCCCAGTTCCTGGTAATAGTGTAGAACTAACTCCACCTGATGGTCCAGTCTCATGTTCGGAAGTTGGCCCAGTTCCTGGTAATAGTGTAGAACTAACTCCACCTGATGGTCCCCAGTCTCATGTTCGGAAGTTGGCCCCTTCCTGGTAATAGTGTAGAACTAACTCCACCTGATGGTCCAGTCTCATGTTCGGAAGTTGGCCCAGTTCCTGGTAATAGTGTAGAACTAACTCCACCTGAATGGTCCAGTCTCATGTTCCGAAGTTGGCCCAGTTCCTGGTAATAGTGTAGAACTAACTCCACCTGATGGTCTAGTCTCATGTTCGGAAGTTGGTCCAGTTCCTGGTAATAGTGTAGAACTACCTCCACCTGATGGTCTAGTCTCATGTTCGGAAGTTGGCCCAGTTCCTGGTAAAGTGTAGAACTACTCCACCGATGGTCAGTCTCATGTTCGGAAGTTGGCCCAGTTCCTGGTAATAGTGTAGAACTAACTCCACCTGATGGCTAGTCTCATGTTCGAAGTTGGCCCAGTTCCTGGTAATAGTGTAGAACTAACTCCACCTGATGGTCTAGTCTCATGTTCGAAGTTGGCCCAGTTCCTGGTAATAGTGTAGAACTAACTCCACCTGATGGTCAGTCTCATGTTCGGAAGTTGGCCCAGTTCCTGGTAATAGTGTAGAACTAACTCCACCTGATGGTCTAGTCTCATGTTCGGAAGTTGGCCCAGTTCCTGGTAATAGTGTAGAACTAACTCCACCCGATGGTCTAGTCTCATGTTCGGAAGTTGGCCAGTTCCTGGTAATAGTGTAGAACTAACTCCACCTGATGGTCAGTCTCATGTTCGGAAGTTGGCCCAGTTCCTGGTAATAGTGTAGAACTAAACTCCACCTGGTGGTCTAGTCTCATGTTCGGAAGTTGGCCCAGTTCCTGGTAATGGTGTAGAACTAACTCCACTGTGGTCTAGTCTCATGTTCGGAAGTTGGCCCAGTTCCTGGTAATGGTGTAGAACTAACTCCACCTGTTTGTCTAGTCTCATGTTCGGAAGTTGGCCCAGTTCCTGGTAATGGTGTAGAACTAACTCCACCTGGTGGTCTAGTCTCATGTTCGGAAGTTGGCCCAGTTCCTGGTAATGGTGTAGAACTAACTCCACCTGATGGTCTAGTCTCATGTTCGGAAGTTGGCCCAGTTCCTGGTGAAAGTGTAGAACTAACTCCACCTGATGGTCCAGTCTCATGTTCGGAAGTTGGCCCAGTTCCTGGTAATAGTGTAGAACTAACTCCACCTGATGGTCTAGTCTTATGTTCGGAAGTTGGCCCAGTTCCTGGTAATAGTGTAGAACTAACTCCACCTGATGGTCTAGTCTCATGTTCGGAAGTTGGCCCAGTTCCTGGTAATAGTGTAGAACTAACCCACCCCCCATTCGGAAGGCCCAGTTGAAAGTGTAGACAGCACCCTGGTGTCAGTCCCATGTTCGGAAGTTGGCCCAGTTCCGTTGGTAATTGGTGTATGAACTAAATCCCACCTGGTGGTCTAAGTCTCATGTTGGAAGTTGGCCCAGTTCCTGGTAATCGGTGTAGACTAACTCCCCTGTTGGTCTAGTCTCTTGTTCGGAAGTTGGCCCAGTTCCCTGGTTAATAGTGTAGAACTAACTCCACCTTGGATGGTCCAGTCTCCAAATGCTCGGAAGTTGGCCCAGTTCCTGGTAATAGTGTAGAACTAACTCTACCTGATGGTCCAGTCTCATGTTCCGAAGTTGGCCCAGTTCCTGGTAATAGTGTAGAACTAACTCCACCTGATGGTCCAGTCTCATGTTCCGAAGTTGGCCCAGTTCCTGGTAATAGTGTAGAACTAACTCCACCTGAGGGTCCGGTCTCATGTTCGGAAGTTGGCCCAGTTCCTGGTAATAGTGTAGAACTAACTCCACCTGATGGTCCAGTCTCATGTTCGGAAGTTGGCCCAGTTCCTGGTAATGGTGTAGAAATAAATCCCCCTGGTGGTCTAGTCTCATGTTCGGAAGTTGGCCCAGTTCCTGGTAATAGTGTAGAACTAACTCCACCTGATGGTCCAGTCTCATGTTCGGAAGTTGGCCCAGTGCCTGGTAATAGTGTAGAACTAACTCCACCTGATGGTCCAGTCTCATGTTCGGAAGTTGGCCCAGTTCCAGGTAATAGTGTAGAACTACCTCCACCCGATGGTCTAGTCTCATGTTCGGAAGTTGGCACAGTTTCTGGTAATAGTGTAGAACTAACTCCACCCGAGGGTCCAGTCTCATGTTCCGAAGTTGGCCCAGTTCCTGGTAATAGTGTAGAACTAACTCCACCTGATGGTCCAGTCTCATGTTCGGTAGTTGGACCAGTTCCTGGTAATAGTGTAGAACTAACTCCACCTGATGGTCCAGTCTCATGTTCGGAAGTTGGCCCAGTTCCTGGTAATGGTGTAGAAATAAATCCCCCTGGTGGTCTAGTCTCATGTTCGGAAGTTGGTCCAGTTCCTGGTAATGGTGTAGAACTAACTCCACCTGATGGTCCAGTCTCATGTTCAGAAGTTGGCCCAGTTCCTGGTAATAGTGTAGAACTAACTCCACCTGATGGTCTAGTCTCATGTTCGGAAGTTGGTCCAGTTCCTGGTAATAGTGTAGAACTACCTCCACCTGATGGTCTAGTCTCATGTTCGGAAGTTGGCCCAGTTCCTGGTAATAGTGTAGAACTAACTCCACCCGATGGTCTAGTCTCATGTTCGGAAGTTGGCCCAGTTTCTGGTAATAGTGTAGAACTAACTCCACCTGATGGTCTAGTCTCATGTTCGGAAGTTGGCCCAGTACCTGGTAATAGTGTAGAACTAACTCCACCGGATGGTCTAGTCTCATGTTCGGAAGTTGGCCGAGTTCCTGGTAATAGTGTAGAACTAACTTCACCCGATTGTCTAGTCTTTTGTTCGGAAGTTGGCCCAGTTCCTGGTAATAGTGTAGAACTAACTCCTCCCGATGGTCTAGTCTCATGTTCGGAAGTTGGCCCAGTTCCTGGTAATAGGGTAGAACTAACTCCACCTGATGGTCTAGTCTCATGTTCGGAAGTTGGCCCAGTTCCTGGTAATAGTGTAGAACTAACTCCACCTGATGGTCCAGTCTCATGTTCGGAAGTTGGCCCAGTTCCTGGTAATAGTGTAGAACTAACTCCACCTGATGGTCCAGTCACATGTTCGGGAAGTTGGCCCAGTTCCTGGTAATAGTGTAGAACTAACTCCACCTGATGGTCCAGTCTCATGTTCGGAAGTTGGCCCAGTTCCTGGTAATAGTGTAGAACTAACTCCACCTGATGGTCCAGTCTCATGTTCGGAAGTTGGCCCAGTTCCTGGTAATAGTGTAGAACTACCTCCACCCGATGGTCTAGTCTCATGTTCGGAAGTTGGCCCAGTTCCTGGTAATAGTGTAGAACTAACTCCACCTGATGGTCCAGTCTCATGTTCGGTAGTTGGCCCAGTTCCTGGTAATAGTGTAGAACTAACTCCACCTGATGGTCCAGTCTCATGTTCGGAAGTTGGCCCAGTTCCTGGTAATAGGTGTAGAAATAAATCCCCCTTGGTTGGTCTAGTCTCATGTTCGGAAGTTGGTCCAGTTCCTGGTAATGGTGTAGAAACTAACTCCACCTGATGGTCCAGTCTCATGTTCAGAAGTTGGCCCAGTCCTGGTAATAGTGTAGAACTAACTCCACCTGATGGTCTAGTCTCATGTTCGGAGTTGGCCCAGTTCCTGGTAATAGTGTAGAACTAACTCCACCTGATGGTCTAGTCTCATGTTCGGAAGTTGGCCCAGTTTCCTGGTAAAGTGTAGAACTAACTCCACCCGATGGTCTAGTCTCATGTTCGGAAGTTTGGCCGCAGTTTCTGGTAATAGTGTAGAACTAACTCCACCGATGGTCTAGTCTCATGTTCGGAAGTTGGCCCAGTACCTGGTAATAGTGTAGAACTAACTCCACCGGATGGTCTAGTCTCATGTTCGGAAGTTGGCCCAGTTCCTGGTAATAGTGTAGAACTAACTCACCCGATTGGTCTAGTCTTTTGTTCGGAAGTTGGCCCAGTTCCTGGTAATAGTGTAGAACTAACTCCACCGATGGTCTAGTCTCATGTTCGGAAGTTGGCCCAGTTCCTGGTAATAGGTGTAGAACTAACTCCACCTGATGTCTAGTCACATGTTCGGAAGTTGGCCCAGTTCTGGTAATAGTGTTAGAACTAACTCCACCTGATGGTCCAGTCTCATGTTCGGAAGTTGGCCCAGTTCCTGGTAATAGTGTAGAACTAAACCACCTGGTGGTCCAGTCTCATGTTCGGAAGTTGGCCCAGTTCCTGGTAATGGTGTAGAACTAAATCCACTTGGTGGTCTAGTCTCATGTCGGAAGTTGGCCCAGTTCCTGTAATGTGTAGAACTAACTCCACCTGTTTGTCTAGTCTCATGTTCGGAAGTTGGCCCAGTTCCTGGTAATAGTGTAGAACTAAATCCACCTGGTGGTCTAGTCTCATGTTCGGAAGTTGGCCCAGTTCCTGGTAATGGTGTAGAACTAACTCCACCTGATGGTCTAGTCTCATGTTCGGAAGTTGGCCCAGTTCCTGGTAATGGTGTAGAAATAAATCCCCCTGGTGGTCTAGTCTCATGTTCGGAAGTTGGTCCAGTTCCTGGTAATGGTGTAGAACTAACTCCACCTGATTTTCCAGTCTCATGTTCAGAAGTTGGCCAGTTCCTGGTAATAGTGTAGAACTAACTTCCACCTGATGGTCTAGTCTCATGTTCGGAAGTTGGCCCAGTTTCCTGGTAATAGTGTAGAACTACCTCCACCTGATGGTCTAGTCTCATGTTCGGAAGTTGGCCCAGTTCCTGGTAATAGTGTAGAACTAACTCCACCGATGGTCTAGTCTCATGTTCGGAAGTTGGCCCAGTTCCTGGTAATAGTG